TGTTTAGTATTTGCAACTAACAATAAAAATATTCATTTGAAGTTTTTACTTATATTTTTCATTTATGTTAATTTAATTTAATAAAACCAGTAAACGAAGATGTGACAATATAAGAGATGATTCATTTTCTTCTTTCCTCAACATATCGACAATATCTAATTCTTCCGTCTATATCGCATTATTCATATATTTGCTCGTTCTCTTTCTTATTATATGCTTATACTTAGAATTAGCACAACTGTATCATCATCGTTTACATGCGCTTACCCATATGTTTTGCCATACACTTCTTTCCTTTCATAAAATGTACCGCGAGAATACAAACTGTATCATCTTCTTTTACATTCAAAGACCCATATGTTTTTCCACACTCAAAATATACCCAGAGAATATATTGTGTTATTCTTCTGCTTGCTAAATAATTATATTTAGAAATATCTTTGCTTTATCCCAACCTCTGACCAAGTGATAGATATGTTATAAACATTATCTTTGTGCTTTGATATTTTTATGTTAGTGTGTAGACTGTATTCTCTGAAGACTATATAAAGGAAGAAGAAAACAAAGTGTGTGTGCGATTTTTTGTTAAGAAATAAAAGTATATTTATATACTTTATTCTTATATTACTCGACACTAAGTTAGAAATCGTCACAGAAGAGATAAAAAGAAATTTTATAATATTAATTATAAGTGAAATGCGTTACATATATAAGAGAAAAACAAACATATGCATTATTGCTTCTATGTAGTTGCTTGCTTGTTTTTTTATTGAGAAGAAAGAAAAAGATTGTCTAACTGTAAGCTTTCGCATCTGATTATTTTCGTGTATTTCATTAATGTATGAGATATGACTACGCAAATATATTTTTTGCATCTAGCATTAATATAAAAGATATGACTACGCAATCATATTTTTTTCGCCGAGCATCAATATAAAAGACATGACTAAGCAAATATATTTTTTTGCACCGACCATTGATATAAAAGATATGACCAAGCAAATATACCTTTTCGCGTCGAGCATTGATATAAAAGATATGACTAAGCAATCATACCTTTTTGCACCGACCATTAATATAAAAGACATGACTACGCAATCATATTTTTTTGCATCTAGCATCAATATAAAAGACATGACTAAACAAATATATTTTTTTACACCGACCATCAATATAAAAAACATGACTAAGCAAATATACCTTTTTGCGCCGAACATTGATATAGAAGACATGACTAAGCAAATATATTTTTTTGCGCCGAACGTCAATATAAAAGATATGACTAAGCAAGTGTATTTTTTCTGCACCGAGCATTAATATAAAAGCGTGTATTTTTTACATATTCATTCAGTTATTTACTTTAATTTAGATTCTCAACAAGTGCAAATCGATTTCAACAGCTTTTGGATATTATTTCACGGTAACTATCCCTATTCAATTTGTATTTAGTTTATACCATTCGACTGGTGTGTTTTATATTCAAACTTGCTGCAGTACTTAGAAGTAGTATAATTATATGAGTAGCTATTAGGATGTCTCTAAATCATCAGATTTATCTAATAACAATATATAATACATTTTAATTTTATTAAAAGCGATCTACATTTCGAAGCCCTCATACTTCATCGTAAACTATCGCAAAATTGATTGAGCTTCTACAACAAATTCAGAAAAATACTATGTACTAGCAGCACTGATTGTTATTCAGTCGTGCTTTCAGTCTTGAGGTATTATTTACCACTGTCACCTCACCAGATGCTTACTCTGAGGGAGTATTCACTTCGATTATGACTCCATCCTCGCTGACAGTTAAATCAAACCACGATACCCAGTCTGACTGCTTGCTACATGAAACTAGGATACCCAATCTAACTGGATAGTTATTCGAACTAATGTAATTAGTTCAAATGCAGCTCAGTTTGATTAGGTATTCAGTCAAAGTACACAACAAGTTCAACTGAAAATCGGTGTCCTTGATCTATTGCTCAAAGAAGAGATCGTAATCGGGTTATATGAAAATATTATAGAATAAGTAACTGTCTGATTCGAGTTCGAATACAAATGGAATTATCCGAAAATAAGCCAGCAATTCGATATCCAAACAAAATATACCTTTCTACACTATAAAGTTTCAAAATACACTTAGAATAGGGTGCCATTTATACTTTATAAATGGAACGCAGTTACATTTATAAATTATAAACAGAGTAGGGCCAAATTTATGTATTTAGAATTTAGATTTAGATTGCTAGAAAAAAATTTTAAATTATAAACCATAAATGGTGTACGGTCAAATATATAAATTTAAAGTATAGGTTGATATTTAGATTTTATAAAAAATATAAATTTCTAAACTTCTAAATCATAAATACAGTACGGCCACGTTTACATATTTCGATTTAGATTTTTATAAGAAAAATAAATTTTTAAATTTATAAACGTAGTCAGATCACATTTAGGTATTATAAATGTACCACGGTCACGTTAATAGATTACAAAAGGGGTAGGATCACTATTTATATATTTAGATTCAGACATAGAATTAATGAAAAATATAAATTCATAAATTTATAAATCATATATACAATAGGGCCACATTTATAAGTTTAGAGTTTAGATTTAGATGTTTATAAAAAAAGGATCGGTATGGGTGTATGTAGTTTTAATTCTGCACGCACCCACCATCTAATTCTAAGAAATACAACCATCTTGAGGGTGTAGGTGTCTCATCTTCAATTACACCTGTGGCGAATCACACGACATCTCTCTTCCCAAATACGTGATCACTAACTGTATGTCATCGCTCTTCTCCGTTGTTTCTCTGTTCTTTTGTTTCCCTTCTCGCTCGAAGAGCAACAAAGGGAGGCAGTCATTCGATTGACCAAATAAAGGTAAAGCAACGAATCACGGTAGAATAAAAGAGATCGTTACAACACCCACACCCACATTCTAAACAAGCTGAGTATTTCCTACTATTAGAAACTCTCTTAGAGTTTCCAAGGGATTCGAAAACGGTTCTTCGGGTTTCCCAGTTATTCGAAAATCCTAAGAGAGTTTCCGATAGTAGCAAATACCGAATATTTTTTAGAGTGCACCCTCTGAAACATCAATATGAGACAAGACACAGTCGTCATGTGTCTCTTCGTCGTTAACCAGCCTTTTTTAGTACTTAATTATTCTCGGTTGTGTCTCGTTCCGTGTACTGTATAAAATCTTATTTCAAATAAAGGCTTTGCGTCTAAAAAAAAGTTAAATAGAATATGAAATTAAACGAAAGAAAGAAAAATAGCTGAATATATGAGAATAGTAAGATAATAGATCAATTCAGTCATGGACCGTCCCTTAACCATTAGTACCTTTACCATTGGTGCGTTAACCATTGGTCCTTTAACGGTTGTTGCGTTAGGCATAGGTACGTCAAGGATGAAGTTCAGGATTGGTCGGTTCCTTGTTATATAGGTAATAATTGGTTAGTTACTGATTAGTTATCAGCAAAGAGATTGCGCAGCGCGTTATATATAGTGCTTGTCATATAACATTTAACATTCTTTTATCTTTATTGTGATCAACGGTTCAGTTGAAAATGGCCAGTAATGTCAAGCCTCGATATTGTCCTGGTTGTGAGTCAAACAACTTTAATTGCGGCGTGGATACAACTCTGCAAAAATACGTACGGTGCGAGTTTTGCTTAGAGGAATTTCGAAAAAAACGCAAGAAGGAACTTGTAAGTGTATCTTTAGATTTATTTATATTGACTTATATTGATGTCTCTAGACTGATCGTCCTCAATGTAAAGGTCTGGATGATGAAGTGGAGTGTAAAAATTCTGCAGAAAAAGGAGACGACCTTTGTTATGGATGTCGAAGAATTCGTGCAAAGGATCGGGTGGCACGTGGAGAGAAGGAACCAATGCGACCGAGAGGGAAACGAGTAGGCTTTCCTCTTTTCTTGTTGCTTTTCTGAGTATGCCTTCTAATATCTATTGCAGGATGAAAAGAAGAGCGATAAGCTCTGCTTAGCCTTTGGCTGCATGAATCCTCGACCAGAGGGTATGAGAAGGGTGAATGGACAGCCCACTAAGGTGCTCCTACAACGTTGCTATCCGTGTAAGTACAGCATGGACCGTCAGAAAAAAGGGTACCGGGAATATCACAGTATGTATTGGTACACCGTTCAGAAATTCAATAAAGAATTTATGGAAAAGAAGCGTGCCAGAGACCATGAGAGGTATGAGGAGAAAAACAAGGATAAACAACTGAGGTGGGAAGAAATGTACAAAGATACACCTCTTCTCAAAAAGATCCCGAGGGGAACATCGAAGTTGGCCATGGAAGTTTACAGTAAGGTGTTCAAGACTCTTGACCTACATAACTTCAGATTCAAGGCGGAATTTAATTACCTGAAGCATCATTTTTATGAAAATCTTGATGGCGAGTCAGAGCTCGGTATTCGAGCTGATCTTCTCGTCGAAGTTGATTTATGGGGAGAAGAGAAACCGTGGACCTTCGTGTTTGAAGTTCAAGGTAAGTGATACTTCTTGTCTGAAAAGCTTCAAAAAAAAGCAAGCTCCGATATACATGTGTTTGTTTTTATTTATAGGTGTTCAACATCGTCCTATCATGAGGCAACATCGGAAGTACGTCAAGAAACAAATAGAGCGACGATATGGTGAACTAAGTGCTACAGAGCAGTCGGACCTCTTTGGCATCGTCAAATACCAGAATATGTTGCAGCTTCAAAACGATCTGGCAAAGATATTGATGAGTACCACCCAGGATTTCATACACATCATCGTGTACGATACAGATTCGGTGGAGATCGCCATCGAAGATGCTTTTACCGGCTGGGAAAACATCATGGTGTACCCGTTCAACAAAATCGATTTTGATCAAAATACTATCGTGAACCAATTCGTCGAACAACTCTTTTCTCCTGAAGGAAAACAGCGCACACGTACACATCCATGCACTGGATTCGAGTTACAGAAAGCCTACTCCTTCATGAGCAAATTGAAGACGGGTGTAATACCCGATATTGATGATGACGATACAGAAGATGAAGATGATGAGGAAGGTGAAGATGATAAGGAAGGTGAAGACGATACGAAAGATGAAGACAGTACGGAAGATGAAAACGATCAGGAAGACGAAATCGTGAAGATGAAAAGTAAGCGATTTGTCCCAATCTCATTTTATAAAATTGCTCTATCTATTTTTAGTAACACTTAGTAAGAAAGAGAAAGATCAAGGAACCATTCTCATGTGGCTTGCTGAAATCGATGAGAGATTTCTCAAATGCAAACCAGTCGAAAATTTGAGAATCAAATTCGATGGAGAACATGCTGAATCGGACAGTGCACAACCATGAAGGCCATTGTTACCGTCGGTCAGAACTAGTCTTTTAGCTATTATCTATTTTTCTTGTTAGTTTTTTTCGTCGTATTATTTTACTCTCGCATTTGATTCATATGTATTATTCCAGTTATTATTTATCTTTTCTGTTCTTTCTTTATTTTCTCTTTATTTTCTAAATATATCATAATCGGTATCTTAATTCAAATTCATAAACTACAACTAACCTTATCTAAGCTCGAAGTAAAGAAGAAGATCGTAGTATTGCAATGAATCGTAACTTGTAAATCATTAACTAGATCTGGTTGCAAGACTAATTATACATATTAAAAGATAGAATATTTAAAACTATAGACGATATCCATAATTCGTATAGTTTCTCTAGGAGATCGCATACTTTCTGTTACTATTTAAGTAGTGGCGTATCCAAGGCCTGCCATGGCTTGACACTGCCATACCACCAGAATTTTTTGCCATACCACCCAGGAAAATTTCTTGTTAAATATATCAGTTTTTCGTTATATTGTTGTGGAAGTTGTATAAGACTAAATTTCCGATAATTAGTTATATCTTAAGAATAGTATAGACAACTTCATAGCTCAATAGAATCCACTACTATTGGATAATCAAAATCTTATTTTTTTCATTCACTTCGTATAAAAATCAAGTAAAGAAGCGAAAATAACGTTTCAGAAATAGTGTTTACACATCAAAATTCATAGTTTAAAGATGCACCAATCTTCAAAAGAATCAATAAGTGGTATAGTTCGGTCGTTTTTTAATTCATAGAATGTGAAGCATCGTGGGTGGACGTCTGCAATTCCGCGTAATACAACAGATTCTCTTTCACATGAAACATTGAATACAAGCTAAACCTCTGCTAATGACAGAAAAAGTCTAAAAAAAACCTGAAAGACTAGAGACTGATTTTAAATCATCAAAAAATTATGAACTGATATGGTTGGCTCAGGGGGTACCGATCGGAAAAATTGGGGTAGGGGATGACGCTCCCTGCTTCAAAAAAGTTTTTGTTGCTTTTTATTAAAAAAGTCGAAAAAATGAGCTCTTAGGTCTAACGACTGGTCGAAGAAAGATCTCGCATCCCCCGCCGCCTCTGAAAATTTTTCGTTCTTTTCAGCTAAAAAAATTGAAAAAATGCATTTTTAGTGCTCCATTTAGGCGAAAAAGTCCTGCGCTCCCCTAGGTTGGTTTTAAAAATTTTATGAGGCAATGCCATACCACCACCCTAATCCTGAATACGCCACTACATTTAAGAAACTTTCAATAAACTTATAGATACAAAATAGGAAAGAATACACTTAAGTTTCATTTCTTTAATCAATATTCGGTTTAGAAAATGCTCCGGCATAAAATTAAAACTAGAGAGTGATGCCAAGTGCCAATATCATTTAGAACTGAAGTCTATCGATTCAGCATATCATTGAGTTAGTAGCAAGCCTAATTAGACACATAAATAAATGTGGAAACTTCGGATTGTATCCGAGAGTTATGTGTACTGCAAAAAGTGTATATGAAAATGATAGGGAAATATCAGTATTTTTGTAATAACTCGGGAATGGCTCGTCCAATCAGGCTCAACTTCGAAATCGCTCGAGATCTTTAAGAGTCTAAATTGTGTATAAAATTTTATCAATATCTGACTTTCCTTTCACAAGGTATTGTGTAAACGGCTGGCCGAACACACTGATCAATTCTAGTAATATACTCATTTTTTGAGTACACTAAAAAGAGAGCACCTGCAGGGACTAAGGGGCAGTTCCTTAGTGCGCTCAAGGATGAGTTTTTTTAGACAGATTGATCAACATCAATCTATTGTGAACTTCACTTTTTGAGTACATAAAAATAACGTTCATTTTATGGAGAACAAACGAGTATCACACAGACACACTATTAAGGTATATGGCTTTTTCATGGTTTTTCACAAGTGTGATACTAAAGACATATCGAACGCAGCATATCTACCTCCTACTACTTTACATCATTTTCAAGCTCTTAATGAGTTCTATCTACTCTAGAAAAAGTGTTATTAGTAATATGAAAAACAAGCAAATACCACACTGACACATTATCAACACATATGATTTTTCTATATTTTACCCACTCTGTTATATAGGGACAATCTTGTGTGCAACCCGTTTCCCCCTATAATTTAGTACCATCTTGTAGCTTGTGAAATTCTCTATTGAATGCTTTATAATAAGTGGACTTTTATTTGACTCTGGTAGAAAAATTGCTTACGAGAATGGCATTATATTATTTTCCCCCCCCCCCCAAAAAATATAGAAAAATCATAGGGAAATATAAGTATTTTTTCAATAAC